CGCAGCACACCCGAGAACAATGGCCCACAGCTCAAATTCGGTCACATCCATCCTCATTGACGTCTAGGTGGCGACTAGTGTTCAAAGCGCGCGGTCTCAAACTACCCAGTACAAAAGAAGTGTGAACGGTTTGCGCGGTGAGGCACTGCAGCAAACGACTCAAAGCGCATGTCGTTGCCACTAGTGTAAACCTGTCTCTTATACACATCTAGATGTGTATAAGAGACAGAATAGATCCAGGATATTATGTTCTCTTATTGGCACCAGAACCTGTTGGCTTAGCAAGTGCTCCCTAGCGAATCGAAGTAGTTGTGTTGCCTGGTTTCTGGTTTGATTTCTGCGCCGTTCTGCACAGTCCAAGTTTGGCCATCGTATGTGTGGTAGGTTAAAATCTCCGAGAGTTTCATTCCGCCTCTTAAAATCGAGAGTTTCATTGAATTTTTCAGGCGGGCAGTCAGGCGGTCGGTATACGATAGCTATGCACAGATGTAGATGGGGATGTATAGTATAACATGTTCCACATATCCATTGGAGCCTAAATGCAGGGGAACTGTTTTTGCCGCGAGGAAGTTTCTGAGGTAGATTATAACGCCTCCTTTTCTTCTCCCTTCTTTTAGATCTGCTCGGTAATGTTGAAAGCCTTTCATCTCGATTTCTCCATCTTGGATATCTTCTCTTAGGTGTGACTCGGTTAAGGCAAGCATGATTATCCCTTCTATCTCAGCAATTTCTTTAAGTTCGCCGATCTTGTGGCGTTTTCTTCTTGGGAAGAACCCCTCTATGTTAGCTATCATGGTGCTAGACTCTTCCCTTCCTTGCGTACTTAGTAGTTGTAACACTGCACTGCCAGGGGTCTCTGGATCTGCAGCTGTTGCATTTGTTGCTGTGATTTCTGCTGTTGTTCGTGCAGTTTCAACAGTTGTTGCATTTGCTGCTGAATCTGATCTACTTGACTCTGCAGGTCTAAAATATTGCTACGTCTGGTATCGAGTTCTCTGTGTGGTTCTCCATTCCGGTAGGATGTGGTGTCCGGTGTGGTATTTTTTGGCACTGCCCTGCTGTATTTCGGATTACGATAGATTCGCCCTTCCCAGAAAGGAGTTTTTTTAACAAATGCACTTTTTCTGAAATTTTGAGTTTAGCAGTAGAGTCTATCTGGTGTTCAGGGGATGAAGTATCAAAAACCCGTCTCCCTTTGGTATCTCTTCCCGCCTGCGGGCTTAGCCTAAGGTGATGAAAGCGACAGTTATCTCGTTTGTAAGCTACATTTTTTATAGTATTCCAGCACAATAACGGGTGGTAGAATGGGCAGTATTTCCCATTTATGCATCCACGTGGGTTTTTGCTTCCAAATGTTGAAAATTTGTGACAAATCTTAGGGTGAGGGTACACACAGCTCAGTCCTTTATTTTCCTGATCGCAATTTCCCTGAAGATACCTCCAGCAGATGTGTTTGTGACCAGACGGAGTGGCAGCCGAGTCATTTAAATTTAAACGGCCTGCGGGAGTGTGTGTTGTGTGAGGGAGAGGAAGGGTTACCCCTTCCCCATCCTTCTCTCGGCAAGGGAGAGGCGGGGTGCTTGAAGGCGTTCATTTATAGGACACTCAACGAGATCACGGCTAAAGCGATCAACTATGATGCTGTTGTCAAGGGAGAGGCAACACTGGGCCTCTGTCCCGGCCACAAGCAGACCGGCCAGAGTATCGCTTGTCATCATACACACAGCATGTGTATAATGTATACTGCGAGTGCATGATATAGACAGCATGTGTATGATGTATACTGCAAGTGCATGATGTGTACTGTAAGTGATTGATGTATACTGCATGTGCATGATGTATGCAGCATGTGAATGATGTATACTGCAAGTGCATGATGTATAATGCATGTGCATGATGTATACTGCATGTGCATTATTTATACTGCATGTGCATAATGTATACTGCATGTGTTTGATGTATACAGCATGTGCATGATGTATACTGCAGGTGCATGATGTATACTGCAGGTGCATGATGTATACTGCATGTGCATGATGTATGCTGCATGTGTTTGATGTATACAGCATGTATATGATGTATACTGCAGGTGCATGATGTATACTGCAAGTGCATGATGTATACTGCATGTGCATGATGTATACTGCAGGTGCATGATGTATACTGCAAGTGTATGATGTATACTGCATGTGCATGATGTATACTGCGAGTGCATGATGTATACAGCATGTGCATGATGTATACAGCATGTGCATGATGTATACTGCAGGTGCATGATGTATACTGCGAGTGCATGATGTGTTATGCGTGTATATACTGCAAGTCATACTAACATTTTAAATAAATCACCTATTTCCCCCGCATTTATAGTACATACTTTAAGCTCGACTTCACTAAACAAACCTTATCGTATGTCTTCATCATTTCACATTCCAAAGTAAATTCTGAAACAAGTTGACATATTCACAACTCACCACAACCACAAAACACCATTAGAATAATGTTATAACATAATTATAAGATTTGAATCGCCCGCTTGCAAGTTTGTAGCAACAAAATGCTTAATTAACAATTACAGATATAATGTTTTCGTCCACTTGATAGAAACTTGCATGAGTGTGGTTTTGTAGTAAGATTGTTGTTTTTAATGCATATCCTATTGTTTCATATCACTGTACGTATAAAATATATAGATGTAAAAATCCTCGACATTTGCAAGATTAGATGTCAGTGCGTAGATAGCTGACCGCACAATTGCAACATTCAATTAAAAAAAGGCGGATGCGCATCGTGTTCTACGGATATATATTTATATTCTGCGATTATGTTGTGCTGTTGAAACGATTATTTGGTTGAAGAACACAACCCAAGTTGTCTTCTTTCTAAAGTTGTCCTGCCAGACATGCATCGTATGATTTCTAATCATAGTTATGACGCAGTTTCTGTTACTGAATTTTCGTTTTTATAGGACTACAATGAAAGTAAGTAATATAAGTGACAGTTACCACCTATATAATAAGCATTAGACTTTATAAATAATATAGGTTCCCATTTTAACGAAACTGTGTTGTAGTCGCATATGAGTCAATGCAGTGGCACAATAGAAAAGTTTCTGCACATTAAGCGTCCGTGTACCAAAACACAAGTTCAATACAGTAATAACATAATTAAAGTAAAATATAGCGACTAAAAGACAGTCAAATTTTACCAAACTTGTTCAAATTGTCCCGCAAAAAAAATTATTTTCAGGAGAATTCGAAAAGGAAATGCCAGATTGAAAATTGCTGGGCATAATACTGAGGCCAATCTATTTCAATAATTGATTGATGATAGTTCAACTCGACCATTATTTTGAGGATCATATTGAATTATGCTGCCTGTAGCAAATCAAACGGTGCTTGTGCAATAAAAAGATACATCCAGAATTGATCTACAAGAAAGCAAATGAGAAGTCGAACTTCATAACGCAATTATTCATTTCGTAATTAAAAACCTTATTCAGAATGGCGTCTTCATGGGTACTCCATATCTTAACCTGACCAAGAAATGCCTTACGGTGCTCTAATAACTTACCGGCAAGATGGCGGCGGCCAAGAAGAAGACTTGTACGACCCCCATTTGGGAGGCGATCGCTTTGATGGGAGATCACACTGACAGAACTGTGATGTCTATGCAATATATTGGGCTCTTAGCTGCCGTCACGGCTATCTATTGGACTGGAGTTTCTGCACAGCACTGGATGCAATAGATCGCTTTGATGGGAGATCACACTGACAGATCCGTGATGTTTACGCAATATAATACACTCAGTCAGAGCTGCCGGTTCACGGCCTTCACTTAAACTGGTCTTTCTCGGTAGCGCTGCTCAAAATACAAAGAATATTAATCATCTTGGTTGCGAGCACCGGGAAATAAATTTTACAGCGTTTACGGTGTAAATCTCAATTTGGGTTATGGTAGAGCGCAACTGAAGATACTGATCGCTAAAATTTTCTTCTGTCCTATCTCAAAATTTAGCCGAAAGAATGCAATTCAGGTATGAAGGTTGAGTTTCATAAATGCCAACGCTCATTAAAGCATGTGTAAGTCAACCAAAAAGAAACTAAATTAATTTATCACTACCATTTATATGAGAATTTAGAAACAAATAGTAAAATAAATCGATGTGATGAACCCGCACATGAACTTCACTGAACGCGTAGGTTATCACCGCATTCAGTCACTGGGCTCCTCTGTCTGAGGGGCCGCTGCTTGCGCTGCTGCTTAAGTCGTCAGGGCAGGGACAAGGCTTCACTGTACTTGAGGGACAAGTGAAGATTATGAACGTCAATTGGCAAGTATTAGGTTCTAAAAAGACGAATATTCTAGTTACAAGCGGTGGGGCTCCAAAGAATAAAGAAAACCGTGTTTTTATCTGCCATTGAAATATGCACTCGAAAGTACCATTGAATTATGCAACAACCTCGACAGCAGGTACTTGCATCAATAATGAAGTGAGACGGCAGAAATTATACCAGTTATATTAACAATTGAGCTTCTGATGCTTGTAGCTTGTCCCCGCTTTGTAGTTATGAATTTATGTGTACGGACCGATGGAATAATTATTCCTAATATTTGTAGGGAATTTCCCAACGTAGGAAGCAAATATCTATTAGACACTAACAAACGAAAGGAATAAAATAATTTAATGCGGAAAAGTGTCATTCTTCAAGGCTGGGCATCCATTGAATGTTCGTTGCATCGACAACGAAAGACACTCAACGATGTTGGTTTACAGAAGTATTTATAACGCATAACGCTGTTTACAGGCCTTTTCCCATTTATCAGAAAACCAGAACCAGAGTAACAGGTTCGAGCGGGGAATTTACTGGGAGAAAGTGAGTTCTCCGTTATCTTTCAATCAAGTAAAAATTTAAAGGATAACGTTCGCAGATAAAAAGATTTTTCTCGTATTGAAACCTCACCTTATTTATTTTAAAATAGGTGCTCATTTGGAGCTTTTATGGCCGCAATTATGTGGTTCTAATTGAACGAGATTTAAAAGTCAGGTTAAAGTTGAAGTTATAAGGTCGTCCGGGTTAGGGTTAACTCCATGGCCCTGTGTTTAATTGGTTTGAATGAAATATAGGAGACCGAAGTATTAAAGGTTTTACGCCAGACTCGGCCAGCCTCCCGCCAATCTGTCTAAGCTGTTATAAGGCATTACCTACAGCTACAGGTAGCAATTCAAGTCAATGATTTATTTTCGGAAATAACCAATCACAATTTTAATTTGGCGCGCGCGCCACAGAGTTGATAGAAGTTACAAACAGGCACCCCGCAGGGCAAAGGCGTTTGGGTTTCATCTCAGGGTAAAGGCATTTACCGTGTTTCTCAGGTACAGCTGGTATACAGTTTACATCTCCACCACGGCCTATATCAGCCATATCAGAGATAATTTATCAGAGATAATCAGCCAATTCATGAGCGGCTCTGATCTATGCGAACTTTCATGCTACTCACGTGCTGGAAAATATGTTTGTTCAAATCTATATTTCAGGGATAAATTCAAACTTTTGTTGATGTATTCTTCTTTTGTTTACACATACTTCCATAATATTCTGAAAATCTTTAGATTACTTATTTGGCAGCTCTTATTTATGGTCTCCACATGTTCATGAGGATAAATAATAAATTGCAGACTAAAATCTTACTAAATTTCTGATGCCTCCAATGTTTAAGAATGAAAGTTCTACGACATATTAAGTTCTATTACGATATTATTTAATACTAGAAAACAATGGAGAAACTAATTGAACAATTTAAGCGCAGTGTTCTAATCACGCGTCAATTTCAGCGTACTTCTTCTCAGTTTCTCCATTATTTGAGGAGAAACGGAGATCATTCTTCTTAAATTAGGGACTCGTGAGACCAATTTCTGGGGACTCTCATGTCCCTTACAGCGACGAAAGACACCTGTATGCAAAGTTGTGCCTTTATGCCGTCAGGATTGATACCATTACTTATTTACTCGTTTCCGTAATGCTCTGCGGATCTTTAAATTATATCTTTGGTACTCTTATGCTCATGGTCTGCTCATCATTGTATGAATAATTATAAATTACAGAACAAAACGTCACTGAATTTTTGATGCTATATGGTCGACCGTACAGGCTTCCATTTATTTCGGCTTTTGTTCTGAATTAAAGTCTTACGTGCCCACGGTATAGTTTAATAACGAAAGCAATATGGAAACTTTAGATATATAACTTTACCATTTAACTTTACCATTTCTTCCGTAGACTTACCGCCCTAAGTGAGGCGGTAAGTCTACGGAAGAAGCCTCCCTAAGTGAGAAGGTAAGTCTACGGTAGCAGCCTCCCTAAGTGAGGAGGTAAGTCTACGGACGCAGCCTCCCTAAGTGAGGAGGTAATTCTACGTTAGCAGCCTCCCTAAGTGAGGAGGTAAGTCTACGGTCTGTCTCTTATACACATCTAGATGTGTATAAGAGACAGCTTTTGTAAACTTTTGTAAACTTTTGTAAACTTTTGTAAACTTTTGTAAACTTTTGTAAACTTTTGTAAACTTTTGTAAACTTTTGTAAACTTTTATCAATACGTTTATCAATACGTTTCTGAGAGTGATTCTTGTTTGCTCTCCAAATTTACATAGCGGGCTGAAAAACATGCGACGGAATCCTTTGAAAATATATCTACCGCCCGGTAGGTTTTCAGGTTCCTACATCTGATACCTCAAAGGAAGAATTCATGCAGTGACCTCATCTCCATGGGATAAGAAGCCACATGTATTAGCTTCATCTGCTCGCTGTCATCTCTCTTTGCGCCATTGAGAGATGACATTGTAAACTTTTGTAAACTTTTGTAAACTTTTGTAAACTTTTGTAAACTTTTGTAAACTTTTGTAAACTTTTGTAAACTTTTGTAAACTTTTG